CCCCTGACCGTCTGTGGCAAGGTGGGGCGCTTCTCGGGCTGTTGTCCACAGCGTCCTGGGGGCTCCCCTCAGGTTTCTGAAGCAGCAGCCTCCTTTCTGAGCGAGGATAGGGGAGAGTAAAGTGGGGGGGCCTGCAAGGAAACCTTCCCCTTGATGGGAGGAGAGAGAGAGAGAGAGAGAGACCCGGGAGTGGGCAGGATTTATGCATTCATTGGTTGACCCTTGTATGTGCCCTGATCAGGATTGAACCCACAACCTTGGCATATAGGAATGACACTCTAACCAACTGAGCTACTTGGCCAGGGCTAGGTCCAGCAAATTTAATACACAAGTCTCAAAAGTCAATGGCAAGAACAAAGTGAGTAAAATAAAAACAGGGTCGGGGAAGAGAGTCATGGGCACACATAGGGAGGGGCAATAAGTGGGCAAGGTAGCTGCCGGCGGAGGACTGTCAGGGAGGGTCAGGAATAGTTTAGATTTTTCTAAAGGGTCTGGGAGCCGGGCTCTGGCCAGCTGTTCCCGGGAGGAAGGGCGAAGAGACAGACACGGAGAACGGGGGCCCAGGTTGGAATCATTGGGGTCAGAGCCAGCCCTGCCCCCACGGCTGTGCGCACCCCATCCTGTCCCCGGGCCCGACCTCCCTGCCTCACGGGTCTGGTCAGGTCTGGTCTGGGGCAGGATCTCCTCCCTCCTCAGGGGCCTCCCTCCTGGGCGGGGTGGGGGGGGGCTCTCCCTGCTCTGCACCTGCAGCGCCTGGGGAACGGGGTGGCCAGCCAAGGGGGCTACACAGTGGGCCTCCCACCCCCTCCCTCCCTCTTTCTCTTTTTAAAATATATGTTTTTATTGATTTTTTTTAGAGAAAGAGGAAGGGAGAGGAATAGAGAGATAGAAACACCAATGAGAATCATGGATCGGCTGCCTCCCGCACGCCCCACACTGGGGATCGAACCCGCAACCCGGGCCTGTGCCCTGATGGGAATGGAACCTTGACCTCCTGGTTCATGGGTCGACGCTCAACCACGGAGCCACGCCGGGAGGGGCGGGGCGGGCCCTCCCTCGCTCTCTTCCCTCAGCAACCCCTCCCTGGCCCGGCCTGGGCTGCCTCTGGGAGACGGTTATTCAGGGGCGCGTGTCTGGGGGGAGGCGTGGATCTGGGGGTGCTGGTCCAGGGGCTGGTCAGCCCCTCCTTCCTCAGGCTCCGAGGTTCGGGTGTCACCTGCCCACCACCCCCTTTCCCGGTCGGGCTCTGCAGGCACCTGGCCTGTCCCCGAGGGAGCCCCTCCCCCGTGGTCTGGCCAGAATCTCAGAAATTCATGGCTCCGGAGAGAGGGCAGGTGGGGCTGGGGGGCAGATGCTGAGAGAGGAGCCCTAAGACTCCCTAAAAGCTGAGGCGCCTGGGCCAGAACCGGACCTCGTGGCCTCAGAGCTATGAGTGAGGTCCCTGCTCCCGGGAGAGCGGGGACCAGGCCTCCCTCCGCCTGTGGGGGACGGGCCCGCAGCCGGGCCTTACAGCCTCCTCCAGGCTGACCCTCAGCGCCCTCTGACCCTGCACCCTGCACACCCGCGCCTCCCTCAGGGGCTCTCCTTAACCCCGGCCCCAGACCCTTCGAGACCATCATCTTACTGACCATCTTCGCCAACTGCGTGGCCCTGGCCGTGTCCCTGCCGATGCCCGAGGATGACAACAACTCGCTGAACGTCGGCCTGGTGAGCGGCCCTCCCTTCCGCCCCCGCCCTGGGCCTGCGCC